ATGAAGACAAAATGATATTGTCAATCGAAAAGGAAGGCTAACACTCATGAATCGAAGATCTCCTCTTTTCTTTTCCTTTAATTATTTAGACTACCTTCTTCACCCCTCTCTCCCTCTCGCTCCCCTCCCCTCGATGAAGATAAACAATTTTGTAAATGAGAGAGGTCAGCACCAAGATATAACATACTTGAATATTGATAATTAATGCATACCTTTCATTAACTATATCTTGCAGTTCCTTTTTAACCCAATTAGGATTGTTCCAAAACTTCGGATATATGTTTTAGCTAGTTATAAATGACAAGTTAGCCTATTTGTTAATAATCTTTCATATTTATGATCGGCATCAACCCATTTCACTTTAAAGGTGTTCTCCAACTACTTCTTACTTGCATACTCTCTCCATCCATAATCTTGTACACATTTAGTTTCCATAACACTCTTTCAACTCCTTACTCAAGTCAAATCTCTTCTATTTTCAATACCATATAACTTCATAAATCATTTACATTATATTTCATCTGTGAAGTTTATTCTAGTTTTGAACATCAAGTCCTTATGGTTACATATGGAATCATAAATAATCCCTTTTTCTCCTTTTTCCTTTTTTTATTGGCAAATACCTTATCTCTAGCATTTCTAAGAGGGGTAATCTGCTCATCCTCTCTATTATCATATTCACTTATGTAGCCTTTTTCAATAGGTTTAGGTATACTAGTATCTCGTTGATCCATTAGTTCTTTTAACTAATGAAGGATCTTGCATCTTATGAAGGTACGGAATAAATAAATTTTTTTAGTTCTCCTCCTTCTAAAGTTCTCAAGATTATGCTATTAAATCAACTAATCATATAAACTTGAACAAGATAATAATGAGTTATTACCTCTTGTAGCTCGAATTAACCTTTATAAAAAGGGAGCCTTTCAAGTGTCTAGCCTTTACTAATAATCCACATAGCTCAAACACTCACTAAAGAAGCTATAAAATCATTGTGTATTAACTCTAACTATTATATATATAAAAAAAATTTCTCTATAAGAAATTAGTTAGGATTTTTGTGCCAACCTATTTAAGAGAGAGGATGGTTGAATTTTCTTAAGGAAAAGAGTGCTCTTCCTTTTCTTTTTTGATGTCTCTTGCCTTTCTCTCTCTCTCTCTCTTTCTCTCTCTCTCTCACTTATAGGGGTGGCAACTTCTCCGTGTAGGTCAAAGAGATACAAGTCATGTAGGCTTTGTCTAACCTTATCCTTATAAACCTTGAGCCTTATTCTTTAAGGCTCAATATTATCCCTCCATTAAAATACCTTATATAATTTTAAATTAAACCCATTAACCTAATTATTTATTAATTAATTTGGATCATTCAAATAAATTGTATCGGGCATTTTTAGGAGGGCCCACTTTAAGAAATATTTTTCCAAGATACCTTTAAACCTAAATTAGGAAACTAATTTTTATTTTAGGTAATCGACTTCTAAATTTAGAAATTGATTTTCAAATTAGAAAACTGATTTCTAAAATAAAAAAAATTGATTTTTCAAAATAAAAAAAAATTCAAAATAAGAAACTTTTCGTTTTAAGAAAATTTTTCCAAAATAGGAAACTTTCCAAAATCTCTACTTCTCTTTTATTATTTCAATGTTTAAACTTATATGTGTGACTCAATAAGCTTTAAGATATATTAGCAATGTATCAAGAATAAAAGATACCTCTCTTATCTCTCCATACAAAAATTAAGATTGAACTCTAGTAAGACATCATGACTACTCAATTATTTAAAAGGATTAATTAATGAATAATTACCTTTCATGAGTATGATTTTCATATAATTTAATTCTCATATCAATTTATCACGAGTGTGATCTCAAACTTGGTTTATTGTCCGTTCGATTATGATTACACAAGTTTTCTTTGATTCTTAAATGTCTTAGTTCTCAAGTAAACTAACTATGCTCTATTGGTATACTTCCACTCGTAGCCATAGATTTCTTAGCGAGACATTCATTGAAGTATAATATGATAACTCTTTTAGCATATAAGGAATGACATGTCCAATCTCAATCATCTACTTATCTTCATTAGATTCCTAATGCATCCAATGAATAATCCATATATAGCTCTTTAATTGGCCCATTAAAATGAATGTCAAAGTACATAAATCCTCTAATAAGATAATTGTGATGACTTCAAGTCAAAAGACTAATTGTACCAATCTTGTATAAGATTTTCATAAACTAAACCAAATAGGTTCTCAAGACAAGTCTCATCTAGTGATATATTCTCTAACATTATTCACCTAAGCGCTTGCTTTGGCATCACCATATCAATAGGTGTGAGATCCCCTAATACTATCTTATAGCAAGAGCATAGTACTCACAAGTCTTACCACATGTTGTTTATGTATAATCTTGACAATGCAACAACTTAAGATATTTAATAATATCATTCAAACACATTAATGCTTGACCATATCTATTGATCAATTATTAATGCAATGCATATCATATGGATTTTTATATAATTTTATCAAATTGTAAATAATAAGAATTAATAGAAAGAATTATTTATTAATATTAAAATATAATATTACAACATATCAAACCATCTAATTAAGTTGAATCTTGAGCACCTACACTAATAACTAATGGGGTAGGAACCACACATTCATCACTAAATTGAACTCTAGAACCATACTTCCTCCTCATGCTCCTCCTATGTTTTCTAGTCTCAATTATTTTTCATCCATAGAAATTTCAGAATCACCATTGCTAGAGCTACTATCACTCTGTGGTTCCTCAATTGGTAAGTAGTCATTATCATCACTACTATTGCATTCTACTCATTATCATCAATACCTATATCTCCTACATTCTATTCGTAATCATCGTCAATAACATTCTATTCATGATCATTAGCAATGTTTTATTTATTATCATTGTCACCTACATCTCTACCATATGCCACATCAATTGTAGCAACTATATTTTTACCTAAACAACCTTTTACTTCCTTTTCCGCTCAACATACACATCGGTAGACCTATGTTCACATACAACACTTAGCATTTTTATAAAAACCTTAACCTTTTCTATAATTAACCCTTTCTCATTTAGATTTAACCAAGTTATTTAAGTATCATAACCCTAGGTGTCTTATATCCACATTCAATAACCACATCGTGGAGGTCTTTTAATGTCATGTAATCAAGATCTTCCGACCACTTACATGATCCAACCCTAACCTTGCTAACATAAGTAATTGGATTCATGTTGTTGAATACCCCACCAATATAAAAATTCAACTTGAATGGCTTAGCCATTCTATGGATAGAAACACCAAAATGACAAACAAATTATAATAAACTCTATAGATACACATTTCATATAATAATAATAAAATAATTATGCTAATTATTTTTTAGAAAATTGTGGTTCCGAAAACTAAGGTTCCGATAATTATCCATCACAATGCAGATCGATCCATCATAATGTAGTTCAAGCATTTACATAGGTAAATGAGGGACTAAAATCTAGAATCATCAAAACGGACATAAATGAAAAAGCCTACAAAAATGAAAATATGTAGAGAGAGAGAGAAGGGGAACCTTATAGTTAAAGATTCATGAGGGAATGGGTACTTGTTGAAGATTCATGGGTTTTTTGACGGTATGCAAATGTATGTGTGGGTTTTGGTTTGGGAAATCTTATGAGGAGAAAAGGTGTTGGTTGAAGAAAAGAAGAAGAGAAAAAGATTGGGGCTCTTGTTCATCATGTAAAAAAAAAGAAGATGATTGGGTTCGTTTGGCAAGCAAGAGAAGAAGATTAGGGATTTAAGCTTGTTCGTCGGTCGGGCGAGAGAACGAAGAGAAGAAGATTAGAGATTTGATTTTTTTTTATGAATTTAATTGAATTAGGTTAGTTAGTTTTAGGAATTGGTTTTGAATGTCGCCCCTTCAATCCGAAATTCTAATTGTTATCTCTGTGTCATCCTACATGGATCGTTATCTATAGTGTCATCCCGAGTATCATGCCATACCGGATGAACTCGAAATCTTGAACGAAAAATAGCTCCTATGCTAAAATAGTTATCGAATAATAATTCATGTATTTTTCATTTATTTATTTTTAAATGCTATAAAGATTAAAAGGTGTATAGTTCGTGTTTTTATGTTATAAGTCTTAATATAAAGTAAATAAAAATACTTGATTGGTAGTTTAAAAAAAATTTGTATACTCAAACGAAAAAATAAAATAAAATTTGTGTATTTAGTTGAAAAAGCATTAAAAGTTAATGTACTTATAATATAATTAGTTTATATATTTTATGGTAAATGGCTCAATTTTTCCTTAAATAATGAAACAATTCTTCAATTTATTCTTATATATTTAATTGTGTCCGGCTTATTCTTTAAGTAAATGAGTTTTCTTCAATATGTTCTTCCATCTCTTTTTTTTTTATATAAGAAAAAATATTTTAATTTTTAATTTTACAATATTAAAATATAAATATTAGACTGTGAGATCCAATGTCTCATCTTAAAAAAATAATTAAAAGAAATTTTTGGAAAAGTTCATCGGACCTCGTTACTAACGGGGAGAGTTCTCTTCCGATCTATAGTTTTTGGAGGTTCGTATGATAATATATGTTTTTTATTCGAAACATCCATCGGGTCTTAGAGTGATGAAAGTAGTTTTTTATATTACGTAATAAATCTGTTTTATTTAATGAAGCCGTTTAATATAAAATCGTCTGACCTATTTCAACACGGATGCACGTTGAAAACTACTCAGGTATGTTAGGATATTTATTTTAGATTGATGAGAGATTATCAGCACCTTTGACTAACTGTCCCTAGAACAGTGACAAGGATTTAACTTTAGTCGATTTGATAATTTATTAATTTGGCACCATCCGTTGAATAATCAAACACAGGGCCAAAGATTCTCAGTAAACGGTTCATCAGACTACTAATTGAAAATAAAAAAAGATGAAATAAAGCAATGGAGATTTTAATGGTTAGCACGACACTCAACAATTTGAGTTGCCCTCCAGGGAAGTCATTGACCAGGGAGAACGTCCAAGCCACTCAATTGTGGCCATGCGTTAAATTTTTATTAGGAATTTTCATATAATTAAATCTAGTTGGTGTGGCGTAATTCTGCATTATGGATTTCCACTTTTATATGAACAAGAAAACCGATGGACATTTTTACATTTTTAGATCAATTTAATTTTTGTATGATGGAGATCAATTTTCTCTTGGAATGATTTTAAAAATGTTTCTCAATATTTGATTTTTTTAAGAGAAAGAAAAACTTTTTTAAGTACCACACCAGTTCTTTAGATTAATATCTCTCTCTTTTTTCTTTTTTCTTTTTTTAAGATCAACCTGAGATGCTCATTAGTCAAAGACTATATATATATATATATATATATATCCTATACTAGGAACCAATTTAAGATGACATGATACATGTCCAGTGATTTAATAGTACTTTTTTTAATGGGACAAAAAATTAAGATGGTCAAGGTAGTTATAATCCAAAATTCATTCGATTTTTTTATGTTTTTAAATTTTTTTAAAATATTCAATTTATCATTTTAATTAAATTTTTTATTATATAATTTTTTTTCAATTGAAATATCATTTACTAAAATATGAAAAAAGAATAAAAAATTTTAAAGCCACATAATCTATTTGTTTTATTTTTAAAGTCTATAAAATTTTATTTTTTTCATTTCAATCATGATCGTTTTGACAAAAAAAAAATCATTTGATCAAAAAAATTAATAAAATTAATAAATTAAACATTTCAAACACTTTCACATATAAATGAGAATTAATTAAAATTTTTAAATATTAATAAAATTTTATGTATTATATAAACATAAATATGTTATTTTTTTTCCCCTTTTTTCGAGTTCAAGTTGCGCACCCTGTAAATATAAACATGATATCGGTTTTCTTGGAGTCATATCAGCACTAGCAGAAGAGCCCGTGCTGGCGCGGGACAACATCCGTTCCATTCCGTAGGTCTTTCGCGTGACTATATATATATAGTTCACTCCAAGTGTCTTTTTTTTTTTTTTTTTGATATGTTATGTTTAATGTTTCTTAATGTACTTTGGTTTTTCTTTTTTAATTTCCAATAAACTGGATTAATGTCGGCATCTCCATGCCTCTTTCTAGAAATGGAGAAAATAATATTGTTTCAATTAAAAGCTCAAGGAGACATTGAATTCCAAGAGTATCCATAATTAGAGTGAATATATGATAATTACATATATAAAATTTTGAAATTCTCTCAAAATTTTTCTTTGACAAGAGTATCCATAATTCTCTTTTTTCATTGCAGATTATTTATTAGATATATATAACATTGAAGATTCAAAAACTGACTCTTGGTCAAGTTGCCAAATACGTTAGGTCAATTAATCAAATTTGTTATGAAATAATAAATATTCATATACTTTTTATATCTCATCACTCATAATTCTCAATGTGATTCAATTCATCATTTAATATGAGAAATTAAAAGGATGGTATAATTAATTTAATAATTTATACGAGTTTTAATCAATCCATAGTCCATTCCAATTATCTTGTCAATTTTGAAGCCTATAAATAGGCATGATTATTCATTAATACAAGTATTTTGTAGAGATTGAGAGAATAATTTAAAGTTCTTATCACTTCTATTCACTTTATTTTATAATAAATTCATTTTCTTATTATCTTTCTCTTCAATTCTCTTATTATTTTTATTTCTTTTATAACAAAATTATATTTTTAGCCAATAATTATTCTTTTCATATGTGATGGATATTAATTGGATTTAAACTCTTCTATTTAATTTTTGTTTTATTATGATTGTTTATTCATTCATTCATCATCATCATTATTTTGAGAATAAAGCCACTTCTACTCCTTTTACAAAATAATTATATTTATCTAATCAATACAACTTTTTCAAATGATTTACAATAACTGAATTTAAAACTAATATTTCTTGCTTCTCAGTTTTTGGTACAAACAATATAAAAAAGGATGCAACTCCAAATTCCAAATCACATTTTCTCGTAGGTTAAAGTTTTATTGATTTGGCATGTTGATTCAAATCAGGATATTCATATTAACGTGATTGACATTGATTTCCATTTTTCCTTCACAAAATTGTCTATGATTCACCTCGATTTCCTTTGTTTCAAGGTTTTTTCAAAGAGAGCCCATCATCTATCAAGCCTCAATCAACAAAACTGAGTAAATCATAAATTATTCCCTCTAGTTTCTAAAAAATAATTAATTATTCTCTCTCATTTTAAAAATTATTATTTAGTTTCTTTATCAGTATTGACCATATTTAATATAATATTATTTTTATTGTACAAAATCGTTTATTTTCTCATCAATTTTTTCATAATTCTTTCATATATTTTTTCTTTTTCTATTTCTTAAAGAAAAAAATTAAAAAAAAATTAAAAAGGAGCAAAAATTATTAAATTACAAGTAGATTTCAAAACATATAAACTAAATGATTAATTTTTGAAATGAAAGAGACTAATCAATTTGCTCCTTGAAACAAGAGGGACTAATTTATAATTTACTCTAACAAATCTTTATCACATTATCTCTTAAATTTTTCAACATGCCTTCGTGTTTATGTAAATGTGTGAAAACATAAAATCATGTAGAAGAATAAAGAATTAACTATTTAGGGATTGATCACATTTGTTAAAACAATATAAATTTAAAAATGTTATAAAAGAAATGGTAACAATGATAAAATTAGAGAGAAAAAGGATGAAGAAATGATTTCACTATGGAATAAAGAGAACATGAGAGACAATAACTTTAAATAATTCCCTCAATCTCCACAAAATGCTTGTATTTCAACTAATGAACAACCAAGCTTATTTATGGGCTTCAAAATTAAGAGGCGAATTTGAAAGGATTATGAACCATTAAAAGATGCATAAATAATTGAATAAATTGCATTACCCTTTCAATTTCTCATATTGAATAGTGAATTGAATTATATGAATAGTGGAGAATATGAAATGGACATTCATTATTTCATAACACTTCTCCTTGAATATCCATTGTATAAGGATTATGCCTCGTTAAAACCTTATTAAGAAAAAACCCAATAAAAAAAAAATTATAGTGAAAGAAAAAGAGTACAATATTCATTGTACACATTAATTTCAATGTTGGCCTTTAGCCTCCCCTCGTTGAAAACATTATTTGAGATCTTTAAGATGATGTATTTCAATCTTGTGCATCATCTTTTCAAAAATTATGGTAAGTAATACCTTAGTGAACAAATTTGTTGGATTGTTACTTGATTGAATTCTTCCTTTAATTGAGTTGTGCAAGTTGCATTATCTACATATGATATTGTTGGAACTTCTTTTTGTTGGTAGATAAATAGCATGTCTCTCTGATATGATGGATTGTTGATCTTAGCCAAACACATTCTCGACTTGCCTCATAAATTAGTATTTTTGCATGGTTTGAATATTTAGCAGCTATAGTTTGTTTCATAGAACGTCATGATATAGTTGTATCACCAAGTGTAAATACATAACCCGTTTGTGATTGAGTTTTGTATAGATCAAATAAATAACCTATACTCGCATAACCAATTAAACTTGATTTTAATTTATTTGAGTAAAACAAATACTATATCAAATTTTTATTGAAGATAACATAGGAAATATTTAATTCCATTACAATCTCCATATTGGAGTAGAGCTATGACTTTTTAATAAATTTATAGAAAAAACTATATTAGGTCGAGTATTATTAGCAAAATATATCAATCCACTAATGGTAATAAAGATATGATACTTCGGGACTAAGTAGTTCTCTCGTTATCTTCTCGAGGTTAAAAATGGTCTTTTTGGATATCAAGTGAATGAACTGCTATTGAGCTAGTCAATGGATGATCTTTATATAGAATAATTGTAGAACTTTTTCTATATAAATTGATTAATGAATAAAAATATCATTGTATAAGTACTCGGACCGCAAGTCAAGATAAAATCTTGTTGCCCAAGGTATTCATATCAAATTCTCCTTTTAGCTAACTTATAGCATTTTGAATATCTTCGGGAGTTCTAATAATATTTAAATCATCATCATATATAGCAACTATCACAAACCCCTTTTCAAAATTTTTTTTATAAAAATACATGAATAAATATGGTTATTTTTTAACCTTTTTTTAATAATATTTATTGAAATAATTATACCACACGCACACAAGTTAGTAATAAAGAGTAGATATTGAAAAATAAAAAAATAAAAAAATTATAGCATAAATTGAATTTGTAAAAGCTAAAATAATAAAACTAATACTAAAATAATTCGATTGAGATCTCTACAATTTAATTGAATTCATTTCTCGAGAATATGTAACATGCTTCAAGTATCTTAAGTCTTTCTAGGACTTTCATATAGATATTATTTCAAATAAAAAAATAAATTATGATCACATTCATTAAAAGCATTTATATGAATTTTTTCATAGATTTTATCGAGCTAATGAGATAACAAAGTATAATTGCATTCATTATAGGAGAATATGTCTCTTTATATACAATGTCAAGTCTTTGTAAAATTTCTTGTGCTAAAAGTCTTACTCTGTATCTTACAATCTCATCTTTCTTATTCCGTGTTTACATAAATACACATTTGTATTTCATTAGCTTAACATCTTTAAGTGTTTTGACTATGAGTTTAAAAACTACTCATTTGTAAGAGAACATAATTCTGCTTGGATTGCTCTTTTTATTTAGGCTAATTATCTTTATGTTGACAATCTTCAATAAATTTAGGCTTAGGATCCTTATTTTCATTCAAGATATCAATTGAAACATTATATGTAAAAATCTTATCAATAAATGTTTCTCTTCGAGTCCTATTTTCTCCCTATGTTGACATAATTTATCAAAATCTCTTAAATTTTTCTCAAGCATTTGGACTTCTTCCGAAGCTATTATTAGAAATATCTTGGATCATTTTATGAATATTTACATCCTTTATTTTAATTATTATTATTATTTTTTTTTATGGATTCTTGCTTTTAGAACCGATCGGTCTTCTAACCTTCGGGCGTGCTTTAGATTCATTAGCTATAACATCAATAGATTATCCCTCTAGGACATCGGATCTAATAAGAGCATTCTTAGTGAGGATATGCATTTTAGTTACTCATTTGGGATCTCGGAATGCATCCAGCGATATGTTTGGTATACTTTGTAAATGAATTATCTTTTGAACTTCTAGTTTATATTATTTTGTACGAGGATCAAGATGATATAATATAGAGTACTCCATGTAATATATTTTCTTTTTTAATATTTCTAATGTTAGTGTTGACGCCCAAGATCCAACCATGTTTGAATGGGTTTAGTTAATGTATTATTGCATCATTTATTTTAGTAATAATAAAAAGGCAATTCTATTAATTCTTATGTTTACATGTTGATAAATTCATTAGAATTAGATAGAAGTCCTTATGATATGCATTTGTAATAGTGATTGATCGAAAGATGTGAGGCAAACACTAATACATATAAATGATATCATTAAACGTCCCAAGTCATATAACATTATCAAGAATGGACAATGACAATATGTAGATATACTTGTGAGTACTATGCTTATGTTATATGATAGCGAGTAGGACATCTCACACTTATTGACATATTGATGTCAAAGCAAGCACTTAGGTGATTTATGTTAGAGAACATATTACTAGACTTGACTTACCATGAGAACCCATTTGGTTTTATTCTATGGGAATCTCATACGAGATAGGTACAAATGGTCCTTAGACTTGAAGTCATCACGGTTGTCTCATTGGAGGACTTATGCACTTTAACACTCATTTCGATAGACATATTAATGGGTTGCACATGGGCAATTCATTGGGTGCATTAGGAATCCAATGAAGGTAGGTGTATGACTAAGATAGGACATGTCATTCCTTGTATGCTAAAGGAGTTATCACATTACACTTCGA